CTATCTATCTATCTATCTATCTATCTATCTATCTATCTATCTATCTATCTATCTATCTATCTATCTATCTATCTATCTATCTATCTATCTGTAAGTCTGTTTGCCTGTAAGACCTTGTCGCTAGCAGTCAGTTTGCTTTGTTTTTGACTGTCTGTTCATTTGTCTATTTGTGGGTTAGTATGTTTATTAACAGGTATGTCTTTGCAATTTTCAACAACTTTACTGTCAACTCATGAACCTGTCATTTTTTTCCTTCTTACTGTTTTCCTCAATATCTTTTACTCGTCTGTTGCACTGCTGGTCCATCTGTGTTTTCCTTTCCACGCGCATGCCTATGGGTAGTTGATGGGTGTTGTGGTGTGGTTTGCTCCTTCTTTCCTATCAAAATATCGACCTCATCTCTCATTCTTCCTTTTTGTGCTTGTTACTCCCTTGTAACACTTCTAATCTTCGGCACTTATATGACCTTATTGTGTTGCAAGTGCCGTAAAACTCTTACTAAAGAAAAACGTGCGTTCCCTCGCCTCTTTCCACCTCACATCCTCGCCCACTGTATTCAGTATTTGTGAGGCAGCGTGGTGGAATCAGGCTCTCGTCAAAATAATCAAAGTGAAGAAACTTGCATTTTTCTGCAGGTTTGTGGATTTTTATCAAAATTTGGTTTTTTGGCTCAAAACCTTTTATGCCCAATAAAGAACTAATTTCTGTGTGGATTTTTCCGAAAAAAACGTTTATTAAAGGCACAAAAAAAGTAAACTTTCTGTTACCACGGACTCTTAAGCTAAGGAGATAACTAATCTTTAGCAGCCATTTTCTCACTAATTTTACCTCTGAAAACAGGTGACCCCCACCTCCTTCTTTCGCAAATATCTCGACTTGTATTCAAGATAAATGGATACTTTTTTATACAAATAAAGACAAGGGAACAAGCTTTAAGATGATACCAATCACTCTACATGCCCAAACATTGACGAGAGCCTGATTCCACCACGCTGCCTCACATTTTCTTTTCCCTTTGCACCACCTGCCCTTTTCCCTTTCCCCGTCTTGTTGTGAGTTTGAGACATCCATCTCATTAAACAAGATATGTGTGCAAAAGCGAATTAATTTTTCTCAGACATGCGCTCAGCGACAACGCCATTATACAGAGACATTATTATTGTAAATGTAAGCAAATAATGTTTTTATTAACTTTATTACTCACCCTGATCGATGTTCCAAAAGTTTTCGAGTTTTTAAAATGATTTTGCAAACTGTGATTTTGTTTTGCCACGCATCACTTAAATGAATCTTGATGCATCATATAAAACTCAGACCTGCTCCTGTGGTGTAGTGGTTAGGTTCTTTGGCGTCTCACCCAGAAGACTCGAATTTGATTATTTGTTGTGGAGAGTCTCTATTGATGGTCTCTGTTTTTCTGCTAGTTTGTTGTATCCCTCTCAGCCGTGGATGGCTTAGACAGGAAGGGTCGGAAACACGCCTTTAAAGTGATCTGGTTTATGTCTATGACAGCGTAAATCACGTACACAGAGGTAGAGAGAGAAAGATACTGCGAGAGAGAGAGAGAGAGAGAGAGAGAGAGAGAGAGAGAGAGAGAGAGAGAGAG